CTGTGCCCACTTTCCAGTTCCCAGTAAGACACACACTAAATCCTATGCAGGCATTCGGGCAGCCCCAACAATCTTCCCTCCACCCTCAGGGTTATGACCCAAGGCCGGCAGACGGTCAGCCAAGGCGGACTACTGGTGCCCACCGGGAAGCCAGAGTGTGATGGTGCCCGGGCACGGATGCCCAGGTGTCTGCAGTCACGGTGCTGCGTGAGCTCCTCTGAGCAAGGTCCGCGGCTGTGACAGGGAAACTGGGGTGAGCTGCCCCGAGCCAGGGACTCCTGAGGGGAATGGGGAGGGCAGGGTGCATGTGTGTCCTCAGGAGGAGGCCGCAGGCAAGGGCTGAGCCAGGTGCCAGAGCTGGAAGGAAGGGCACGTGGGGGGAACCAGGTAATGGGTGCACAGCAGGAAGGTGCTGGCACTGAGAGAAGTGCCCGAAACTGCGCTTGGTTCTCTCGAGTCAACTACAGACATTCTCTCTATCGTGGCTGTCATCTTTCTAGGTTTGCTTGTAGAGCGTCAGCCTTCCCCCCATCCTTCTTCTGGTTGGCAGAGAGACGTTAAGCTGGGCTGAGAAATGATTCGGAGACCAGCAATTTGGACCTGGGATGGAAGGAGTGAGGTCAGCAGTGGCCTCGAGATGTACTCACTCAGCCCCGTCACTTCCCGGCCGTCACCCTGGAAACTCCCGGCCCGGGGAGGCTGCAGCTTCTCCTCTGGGAAGCGAGCCGGACCAGGCCTGTCCAGCAGGACCGCATGAAGGTGAGCCCTGTGTGTAAGCACCCAGCCCTGAGCCTGGCTTGAGTGGTGGCCACACGGAATGCAGGTGGCTGCCATCTCTAACGGGACTGGATCCCACCCCCATCCCTGGGGGTGTTGTTCTTACTGTCCTTGCTCTCCAGGGCTTATCAGAGGATCTGCAGCTCTGCAGGATGTGGAGGACCCAATGGACCCAAAAGGGAAATTCCATGAGTCAGTGTTCAGTAAGTCGTCCCTCTTTGAAGACGCATTGCAAAATCTGTACATGGAGCCATCTCAGTGAGTGGATGCAGCCCACTTCCTAGAACATGAGTGGAGGACCAGCTCCGCCTTTCTCCCAGCTGCTTTCTCTCCAGCCGCTGTTCTCAGGCCACCCAAACCCCAGCCTCCTTCTGAGTTGGGCCCATTACATTAAAGGTAGGAGAAGTGTACCCGAGGGCTTTTCTCTGGCTCCCCCAGGCCAACATGTATCTTTCTGGCACTTTCTGGGCACAACTTCAAAGAAATATCCCGCATTTGCCCAGAAATTGTTGCAGGCGATGGTTACCAACCGCCTAGTGCTTACGTCCAGCTGCACTGGAACAAGACCTCAGGACATATCCAGTACCTGCCCCAGGTGGACGCTTGTCTCTGCCATCTATAGCCCTAGCACAACTGCTCGGGGCGTTTTGCTATTTCAGCCCCAAGACGCCGCAGCTGAGCGTCTGGCCCTGGCCACCACACAGTAGAATCATGCTCAGAGAAGGAACCGGTTTCCCCCAGTGCCAAGCTGCCCCAAGCGTCCACCCTTCCCCGCACCTCCACTCTGTTCTTCTACTTGTTCTTCAAGCCCCTGAGGATATCGCTCCATGTCCTGCCAGGCCTGGAGAGGGCCCTGGCTCCACCATCCTGTGGGGAAGAGTGGGTCCCGCTGACCGAGTTTACTCAGGTCTCCACCCGTAACCCAGGGCCTCACAAAGAGCATGTGCTCAAGGGTCTGGGCTCCCCGTACCTGTGAGCAGATGGGGTTCTGCATTAGGAGAACTGCTAAAATGTATTTTAAACTGCTCCAATATATTTTTATAAACCAAGCATATACTATGTAGGCATATATATTTTTAAAATTTTACAGAATGATGAATAAAAGCAATAAAGGAAAGTAAATATTGTTTTTAACTTTTTTCTGTATTTATTTTACTTATTTATTTTATTTATTTATTTTGGTGGAACCAGGGATTGAACTCAGGCCCTTGCGCTTGCCAGGGAAGCACTTATTCTACTGAGCCATCTCCCCAGCCCCTGTATTTATTGACTTCTTCCATTTTACTGATGACTTCTTTCACATTTCCAAGAAAGCTTTTATTCCAAGATAGGTTACCTTGTTCAAGTTCTTAAAATAGGATGGAAGATTTTACAATTTCTTTTATAAAACAGTTTAACTCTTAAAATGTATAAAGAATAACATTTGTGTTCAGTACCATCAAAATGCACAACTTAAAGTTAATTAAATCTTCTATTAACAGATTATATGAAAAAAGTAAAAAATATCTCAAGTCACCCACATAGCAGAGAAAAATGAAGATTCTATATTCAGTTTACCCAATTTATATTCTGTATCTACATTATTTAGAAAAGTGACTGCTCTTTTCAAGGACAGTATTGAGAATCTGTCTCAGAAATTACATGGGACAGGAGAAGCTGCTGGATGTGGCCTTGGAATATGCCCTGTCCCTGGCCTTACTCCTCTCATCTCTCCTCTTTTGGCATAGAGTGTGGGTCTTGCACTTGTTCATCTCCTGAACCCTCCTCATTACAGACAGACAGGACCTCAAGGGTGGTATCTTTGAGCTGGCCCAAAAATTCTAGGACTTTTTCCACACTGGTTTCAGCATGGGCCCTTGGACCCCATAGGAACTCATATTGAGGAGGATCACTGTTTGGAACCTCCCGATATGTTAGGTACTGTTCCCGCACCAAGTCCTCGGTGAGGAATTTCTTGGGTTCCCCATATATGCAGTGTGACCTCCCGGGAAACAACCCCATCCCACTCAGCACACTCCAGATGTGCTCTTCACTGGCATGGCTGCCCTGAACATGGATGGCACCCAGGATGATTATAAGAACAATGGTCCTGGGGTAGTTCTGTTCATCAGCCACCATGCCATCATAGGTGAGGTCCAGAGAAGGACTAAGAACATAGTAGGGGCTGCTAGGGTGCATTTCCCTTATATCAATGCCAAAGACCGACTGCATACACTTACAAGCTTCCCTGAAGATCACAAAGAAATACTGTGCATACTCTTTGATGACAAGTGTTTGCATTTCTGCAATGGAGGTTGGCTCCTTAAGTAGATACTTAAAGGACAGAAACTCCATCAACTCAGCCACCTTATCATTTAAGACATCAATAAGCAAGGACTTGGTGTCTGGCAGGGCCGGTAAGGGGAATGAACTTTTCTCTTGTTCAATGCTGGAGTCCCCAGGGGATTGGCTCAGTGGGGCAGCAGCCATGTCACTGGAGGAAGAGGAGGCTGCCTCAGGACACTGAGGAGGATCCAGCATTCCAGCAGCAGAAACCTCTTTTACAGCATCTAGATCAGAGAACAGAAGGAAGATGAGGATGAGGAGGATGACAAGGACAGGGAGTGAAAGAGATGACTTCCTGCTATATAGCACTGAAACCTCCCTACCCATCAAGCCCTGTGTCTCACTTTGGTCTTCAGGGGCTTCCTCAAGCTGGCAAGGCTTTGGAGATCCAGACATGACAGCTGTAGCATGTGACCCCAGGCAGGAACTCGGCGACTGGGGCTCAGGGACCTGAGGAGAGGGGCTGTGTGAGCAGCATTCAAAGCAAAAGCAAGGGGAAGCAGGCCCAGTCATGGTTCCCTTAGGTGACAGTAGAGACTGGCTGAGGCTGGGGTTCTATACACGGGGGCATGGGGCTCTCTCTGCCCACAGCTAGACCCCAGGCAGCTCCTGGGATCCCTACGGCCCCCAGAGCTCTATGGACTCCCTCCTTTTGGGGTGCGTGGGGGGTACTTCCTTCCATGGCTTTAGTCTTCCTCACCCAAGGTGCTCACCTTGACTGCTGATGGGTCCTGGCGTTGTCCCTCTGCTAACCTGGTGACCCGATATGCACCAACTTGAGATCTCCCTGAGCTCAAGCAGACAAAAATGAGATGCAGCACCTCTGTACCCAACCCCCTGCATGGGTTTGCCCCAGGGTTTGGACAGAAGGATAGGTACAGAAGCCCTCCCCCATCTGGAGCAGGCCCAGGGACTCACACCCTCCCCTGCTGACCTGTGCATGCATCTTGCAATCCAATGCCACCATTTCCCTGTGACCTCAAAGATGGAAGCTGGTATGTATTGGTGCGACACTTTCTCTCCATCCTGTCTGAGGTCGCCCCAAAGCAGGCGCAGTTTCCCATGTCTTGGATCTGTCTGACTGAAACCACATTCCTCAGCCCAAGTCCTGCACCTCTGTGACACCCAGAGGCAGGGGGCAAAGGTGCACCGTGCAGAGCAATGCTGACTGTTAGGTGGCGGCCACCCTCTAACCTAGCACCTAAGCTTCCCTGCACTGTCCTCCCTATAAGGCCTGCTCTAGAGTCTTCCACAGACCCCCACCTCTCTGGCCCTGCAACCCCCGCTCAGATTTCGTGAAAGAATGCAGGACACAATTCAGAGCAAAAGCACCGTGATACTGTGCTCCACTGTCCCGGGATCCTCTGTCCTGCTTCCTTCCTCACTCTGACTCGAGCTACGGCTTCCAGCTAGCTGAGCCCCGCTGACTCTGCTTCTGCTACGTGGAGCACGGACCTCACGACAAGGATCTGACACTCAGGTCCCAGTGAAGGAAAACCTGGCCCTTGCCTAGAAATTCTACCCCATTTGGTACAAGGCAAGCCACAGCAGGCTTTTGTAATTATTCTGGGACCCTCTCTCTGGAGCAAAGCTTCCTCAGTCCCTCTCTCCCTTTACCTTGACCCAACTGAGGCTAGGCTTCTCTGCTCCTCCTACCTTAGGGCACACCTCGGAACAAGGCTCTCATTGCCTTCCAGCTCCCAGAGACAACAGAAGGGGGTTCACACTTGAGAATTCTGCATTCAAGGTGCAGAACAGGCAAGGGCGGCTTTTCTAGAATGCTCTGGGACTCAGAAGCAGGTATGAGCGTTCCTTAGACCCCCATAACCCCTCCCAGTAACTTGGGCCCAGGTTCTCTCCCCTCCTCCTACCAGAAGCGCAACCCTTAGAATTAGAGTCTGGATCTCCCCTTACTGTTCTTTTAGGCAGAAAGGGGTCCCCACTTAAGAATTCTTCCCGGGAGTGCATGACTAATAACAGAGTAAATCTGCAATTCCAGTTCCCTCTCCTTGGTGGGGCTTCCTCAGTGCACCCACAACCCCTCAAACTGATCCCTATAGTGCCCTGACCTCTATACTACCTTCACCTGAAACATGTAAGTTAGAACTCGACCTTGCATCGTGCTTTTTTTTTTTTTTTTAATGTATTTGCTTGTTACAGGGTCTCACTACACAGCTCAGACTCGTGGCGATCCTCCTGCTTTCAGCCCCTCAGTGCTGGGATTACAGTCCACTACTCCCGGACTTGGTGGCTGGCTCAGCACAGCCTGAGGGCAGGGCTGGCGTGCCATATGGTTCCAGGGATCGAACTGCGGTCCCAGCGCTTCCCTAAGCAGGTGCTTTAGTCCGCTGAGCTATCTCGCTGGCACTCCTCACATTGTTTTGACCCCGTGAAAATGGAGTCAGTTGACATCACTTCCGGCAACGCATGGGGGGGAGGAGGGCGGGGATGCCATAGCGGCGGCGGTGGCGGAGGTGCCAAGGGTTAGAGGGGCCAAGGAGAGAGTGTCTGATAGCAGGGGTAGAATAGGATTTTCTGCTCCCCCTCTGTCCTCAGGAGTTGTACCTTGGTTCCTGGCAGAGCCTGGAACACCACCCTGTATAAACCCGAGTCTGTTTCCCTCACACCAAGGCTCTGACTCCAGGGCCCCCTGAAGCCAAAGAGGGGAGAGACTCCATCTTCCGTGCCTGCCTCCCGGTGGGCCCCAGCTGACAAGACGGAACTGAGCTATGTAGTGACGCTGTGTAGTTGGGCCTTCCTTACCGTCCCCTCCCCCACGGTGCGTTACCATGACTAGCTGATTAACCCGGCCCTCTCCAGTTCCCTCACCTGAAGCACGCGTCTCAGAATGGAACCTCACGTTGCTCCAACCCTTCGAAGAGCTAGTCGCTGGATGAAACTTCCGGCAATGTACTCGAGGTCTCCTAAAACGGGCGGAACGGAATTATATGGGTCCCTTCTGTCCTTTCTGAGGATTAACATATTCGTTCCGGGCAGAGCCCGGACCCTTGTCCTCTATGGACTTGAGTCTGTTCCTCTCAGTCCAAGACTTGCAATCCTAGGTTCCTCTGAGCAGGAAAGGGTACGCACAAAAAATCTTGCCCTGAGGTGCAAGGCGAACTAAAAAGTCAAATCTGGACAGTTTTGGAACCTTGTCTATGAGGTGCGCTTGCGCAGTACACCTTCAGCGCTTAAGTTCACGTAACACAGCCCCGTCTCTCCTTGAAGCCCAAAGCTCAGATCAAGTCTATCACATTGATCTGCACCCATGAGTGTGGAGTCTGTGGAGGCCACATCAAGCGATGTGCCTGTGTCTGACAGGAGGAGCAGAACGGCAATGTGTAGGTTCCTCTTTTCTCTTTCATTCCCTGCACAGCTTGGGTTCTGGTCCTGCCCACCTCATGCCTTGTCCCTCAGTATCTGGTAATTCCCATGGTGACAGCTATAGGAGGGAAGGAAAGTGGTCAGCTTCACTTTGCTGCCCAGGGTCTCCTGGGACGAACTCAACGGCCACAATAAGGAGCCCAAGATTGTGGGGACCTCTTCAATGACACCCACATCCGATCAGCCAGAGGCAGATCTCCCCACCTTTTCCTTCTAAATGATTGATGTTATTCATTTTAGTGAGAAAAAGAATGAATTGCCTGGCAGATGTTGCACTTGAAGGGAACTGTGACAAGACCTCAAAAGAATCACATGGCTGAGAGCCTAGGTAATTGAGTCAGATGTAAATGACTGGGGTCTGGGTGGAGGACTATGGGGGTGGGCAAGACGACAGACAGGAGAGTCCTGATGCATACTGTGTTGGCTTAAAAGAAAAAGGTGAAATTTTCCCAGCAGACCTGACAGCTGTCACTGCAGGGTTAGTTTGCTAATGATGAGTCTTGGGCTTCTCATCTGGGTACTTCTTTTTTATAAATTTTTTATATATTTTTTTATTTCGTACACGGTGTTGCTATATAGCTCAGACTCATAGTGTTCTTCCTGCCTCAGTGTCCCCAGTGCTGCAATTACAGGTGTGTGCCACCATACCTGGTTTTGGTAGCCCGCACAGTACGCCCAAGATTCTGGGGCTGGCACAGTATGTGGTCCCAGGGGTCAATCCCAGGTCCTTGTGACTGCCAAGCAGGCGCTTAGACCACCAAACTGTCTCCCTAGCCCCCAAGTACTTCTCAGTGTATCACATTTGGCATTTTATTTTTGTATTTTTAGGGGAGGATCTACAGGGTGTTCAGGGTCTCACTACTAGATCGGAATCGTAGTGATCCACCTGTTTACAGCCTCCCAAGAGCTGGGATTACAGGTGCGGGCCACCTCACCCAGTCTCAGTGTGCCCCAGGTGCGGGGGCAGCATGGCAGGCCCAGGGATTGAACCCCTGGCCCCTGCGCCTGATTGCAGGTGCTTTAATCCACTGAGCTATTTGGCTGGCCCATATGTGGCACTTTGTTCTGCTTTGTTCTGGCACACACCCATTTCCTCAGCACTTGGAGGCTGAGGCACAAAGATTTCCTTGAGTTGGAGGTTAACCAGAAGTGCACAGGAAGCGCTTGTCCCAAAAAACCCAAAACAATGCCTGTCATCTCAACACTGGGGAGGTTGAGGCCATCCTGGGATATAAAGTGAGTTCAAGGCCAGCCTGAACTACATAGCAAAACCTTCTCTCAACCGAAATAAATAAATACGTAAAATAAAAATTGAAAAGGTTTTAAAAAACAGGTGAGGGACATGATGCCCAAAATGACCCCCATTCCTGCCGAAGTGCACAAGCCACAAGATCGTGCATGGGCACCTCTGGAAATTGCAGTGCGCTCAGTGAAAATTGCAGGCCCAGCTCTTCGCATGGGAGAGGTGCATCTTGTTTAATACTTAAACTGCTTCGGGGAACAGAGGGAGTTTTCTTGACAGACCACCCACTTTCTAAATAAGGCTTCTGTGAGGTCCCAGCCTCACAGCCCTCTGGGACAACAAGGAGTATCATAGCTCCTGGGGCCCAGCCACCTCTCCCGCGTCTCTGTGCTCTTGCACCCAGCCTCCTTGCCTCAGCCTTCCACCCTGGGAGTCACGGAATAATTCTAAGGAGTGAGCAACTCCGGCCTGGGGATTCCTGATTCATGGATGGCAAAGACTTGGTAGCATTGCCCTGGGCCCTCCTCCTGTGCCAACAAAACACCCCAGAAATGACCATCAAAAAAAGGGAAGGCCTAGCCTAGCATGGGGTGCACTCCTGCAATCCTAGCATTCAGGAGCCTGAAGCAGGAGGATCCTGCAAGTTCTAAGCCAGCCTGGAGGCCATTTGAGACATAGTGACTACATATCTTAAAAAGAAAAGTGGGGGGGTGAGGGGAAAGGTTTACAGTTACCCTGAAACCATACTCCTGTGACAGGGGAGACGTTG